AACTAGGATAGCAATACTTATATTTGACAAATTAGATTTTAAAACCAAGGCTATGGTAAGAGACAAGAAGTAGTCTACATAATGATAAAAGGGACAATTCAACAAGAGGATATAGCCCTAGTAAACATTCATGAACCAAACATAGGAGCACCTAAATATGTAAAGCAACTCTTGATGGACATAAAGGGAGAGAACAACAGAAATACAGTCATAGTTAGAGATTTTAACATCCCACTGATATCACTGGATAGGTTCTCCACACAGAAAATCAACCAAGAGACAGTGGTCTTAAATGACACACTAGGTCAAATGGATTTAAGTGATATCTTCAGAATATTTTACCCCAACACAGCAGAATAGACATACTTTTCAAGTGAACATAGAACATTTTCTTAGACCACATGTTGGGACACAAAACAAATCTCAATAAATTTAGGAAGATTGAAATTATATGAAGTATCTTTCTGACCACAGTGCTGTGAAACTAGTAATCAATCATAAGAAGAATACTGAAAAACACACAAAGTCATGTAAGCTAAATACCAGGTTACTAAACAATGAATGGGTCAGCAATGAGATCAAGAAAGAGATTAGAAGATGCCTTGAAACAAATGAAAATGAGGACCCGACAATCCAAAATCTGTGGGACACTGGGAAAGGAATCTTAAGAAGGGAATCATAGCATTACAGGCCTATCTCAAAAAAGTTCAAATAAACAATCTAACTTTATACTTAAAGGAACCTGAAAAAGAACAACAAACAAAGTCCAAAGTGAGTAGAAGGAAGGAAATAATAAAGATCAGAGCAGAAATAAATGATATAAAGACTAAAAAAAGATACAAAAGACTAATGAATCCAAGAGCTGGCCCTTTGAAAAAATAAACAAGATTGACAAGCCTTTAACCAGACTCATCAAGAAAAACAGAGAGAGAACACAAATAAATAAAATCAGAAATGAAAGAGGAGAAATAACAACTTACACCAAAGAAATATAAAGGATTGTAAGAAAATATGAACAATTATATACCAACAAATTGGACCACTTGGAGGAAATGGATAAATTCCCAGAAACATAAAGTCTTCCAAAATTAAATCAGTAAGAATCAGAAAATCTGAATAGACAGATTACACCTAGGGAAGTTGAAGCAGTAATCAAAAATCTTCCAACCAACAAAAGCCCTGGAGCAGATGGCTTCATAGATGAATTTTACCAAACATTCTGAGAAGAACTAACACCTCTCTTTCTCAAGTACTTTGTAAAATATAAGAGGAAGGATAGGCTCCAAACTAATTTTATGAGTTCAGCATTATCCTAAATCAAAACCCTATAAAGACACTACAAAGCAAGAAAATTATAAGCCAATATGCCTGATGAACATAGACACTAAAATCCTCAAAAAAATATTTGCAGACCAGTTAGAGTAAGACATCAAAATGGTCATATATCATGATCATGTGGGATCTATTCTGGGAATGCAAGGATGGCACAACATTTGTAAATCAATAAATGTGATTCCTCACATAAACAAAATGAAGGATAAAACCAAATGATCATATTGGTATATTCAGAAGCATTTGATAAAATCTGGGACACATTCATGATAAAACTCTCAACAAAATGGGGTTAATGGGAGCATACCTAAATATAAGAAAGACGATATATGACAAACCCACTGCCAGCATCATATTCAACAGGATAAAACTACAAGTGTTCTTTTTAAGATTGGGAACAAAACAGGTGTGTACGCTTTCACCTCTCTTATTCAACATAGTACTGGAAGTCCTAGCCACAGCAATCAGAGAAGAAGAAATAAAAGGCATCCAAATTGGACAGAAAGAAGTAACTATTTGCAGATGACATGGTACTGTACATAGAGAATCCCAAAAATTCCACCAAGAAACTACTATAACTGATAAATGAATTCAGTGAAGTAGCAGGATACAAAATTAATATCCAGAAATCAGTTGCATTTTTATATGCCAATGACAAACTAACAGAGAGGGAAATTAAGAAAATAATCCCATTCACAATTGCTACAAAAGAAAAATAAAATATCTAGGAATAAATTTAATCAAGGGGGTAAAAGACCTGTACTCAGAAAACTGCAGAACACTTAAGAAATAAATTAAGGAAGACATAAATAAATGAAAGCAAATACCATGCTCATGGATAGGAAGAATTAACATCATTAAAATGTCCATACTACCCAAAGCAATCTATAGATTCAGTGCAATCCCTATCAAGATTCCAATGATGTACTTCACAGAACTAGAACAATGATTTCAAAAATTTATATGGAGTCACAAAAGGCCCCACACAGCAACAGTGATCCTGAGAAACAAGAACAAAGCTGGAGGTATCACACTACCTAATACCAAACTATACTATAAGCTCATAGTAATCAATACAACATGGTACTGGCATAAAAACAGACACGCAGATCATCGAAACAGAATAGAAATCCCAGAAATAAAACCACTCCTTTATAGTCAATTAATATTCATCAGAGGAAGCAAGGACATATGATGGGCTAAAAATAGTTTATTCAATAAATGGTGTTGGGAAAATTGGACAAATGCTTGCAGAAAACTGAAACCACATTTTTACATCATACAAAATGATAAATTCAAAATGAATCAAAGACTTAAATGTTAGACCTGAAACCATAAAAATCGTAGAACAAAAGATAGGCATCAAAATCTCAGACATTGCTCATAGCAATATTTTATTGCATATATCTTCCCAGGCATGGGAGACAAAAGGAAGAAAACGAAAGGGACTACATCCAACTAAAAAGTATTTGCACAGCAAAGGAAATCATCAACCAAATAAAAAGACAACCTACAGAATGGGAGAACATATTCACTGATACATCTGATAAAGGGTTAATATACAAAATTTAGGGAGAACTCACAAAATTCAACAGCCCAATTAAACAATGGGCAGAAGACCTCAATAGTCACTTCTCCAAAGAGGACATATGGATGGCGAATAGGGTTATGAAAAGATTCTCAATGTCACTACTCATCAGAGAAATGCAAATTAAAACCACAGTGACATATCATCTCACACTTGTCAGAAAGGCTATCATCAATAAATCAACAACCCTTGCTGGTGAAGATGCAGAGAAGGGGAACCTTTTTGCATTGTTGGTGGAAAGGTAGATTGGTCAGCCACTGTGGAAAGAAGTATGAGATATCTCAAAAATTAAAAATGGATCTGCCTTTCTGCCCAGCTACCCACTTCTGGGAATATATCCAAAGGAACCCAAAACACTAATTCGAAAGAACATAATCACCCTTATGTTCATTGCAGCATTATTTACAATCACGAAGATATGGAAGCAGCCCCAGTGCCCATCAATAGATGAGTGGGTAAAACAGCTATGGGACATTTACACAATGGAGTACTACTTGGCCATAAAAAACAAGAATATATTACCCTTTGCAACAGTATGGATGGACCTGGAAAACATCATGCTAAGTGAAATAAACCAGTCAGAGAAAGAAAATACCATACAATTTCACTCATATGTGGAATCTAGTGAACAAATTGAACTAACAAGAAAAATGGGGACAGACTCATAGATGGAGAGCAGGATGACAGCTAGCGGGTGTGGGGTAGGTTAGGAAATGGAGGGATTAAGCAAAATGGAAAAAGGACCTGTGGACATGGACAACAGTGTGGCGATTGCTGGAGGGAGAGGTGTATAAGGGGACTAAATGGTAATGAAAAAAAATACAATAAAGAGTATATATATATATATATATATATATATATAATGTATATACACATAGACACACACATATATTAGTATCCACCTTCTAATCACAGTTTGAACACTTTTTTTCAGACAGTATATTGATATTTATAAATTTTAGAAAATGATGCCACAGTTTTACACAGAACTAAATGATGCCACAGTTTTACACAGAACTAAAATGTAAAAATTAAAACTTTCTACAACAGAGAAATACTTCACTCAATTATATTTTCATTAGGGAGGAATTTTGAAAGCATTTTTTCCTATATTTATATACGGAGAATTATAAATATTCTGTGCTTTGTGTTTGTACCTTGTAACTTGCTAGAAAATAGACTATCAGTTTAGTGTTGCTTTATTGTTGGCAGGTCCACAAATGTTCAGAGTTTGATTTCCCCACACAGCTTTGGAGATGAGAATGTCAATCCATATGATAACTGATATAAAGGTATACTAAATCTAAGGCTCATTTAGATTTTACGCCACAACATTTTTATTTATAGAAAAGTTATTATACACCAATAACACCTTTGTCAATTTAAACAACTTCCTTTTCAAGAACAATAACTATTTTTCTTAATTTATTTATTTAAATCATAATGTACAATATTTTTATAGCAGCCCAGGTAACATAGTCAAGTTACTTTTTATCATAGTTTGTTCATAGCAACTGAAAAGGAATTCTCGTATTATTATTACTACCAAAGATTTAAGTGATTAAAATATGAAAGCTCCATTAGATATGTTACATTATAATATTGCTTGACCTTTGAAAGTTGCAGTATATTAGACATTATTAATTTTGATAAACTGATTTAAATAATTTTGATAATATTAGTTTTTAAGGTATATTGATAACATGGCTTCTAGTTGCTTTGAAGGTGACCTCTAGGGAAATCAATTGACTTTGGTGGATTCAAATTTCAGTGATCAGTATGAGGTGTCTCGAGGTTACATCTAAATACAGTATTTTTGTTAATTAACCCTTTACTAAAACTGATGTCTGGACTTTAGATCAAGGGGTACTATAAAAACAATATTGTTTTTTGTGATACAATCATATTATATAATAGAACTTTAAGTATTAATGGTCTGAATTTGCTTTCTTTTAGTGAAAGGAGTCTCAAAAACCAAAATTGAAAGATCTTTAGGAAATAGTAGCAGCAGTTCTTTCCTCTTACTTTTTGTTTCTTACTAGCAAACCTGGTAAAGCTGAAGGTTTTTTCCCCTTCACAGGTTTGGGATGAAAATCTTGCAAAATCTGCAGAGGCTTGGGCGGCTACTTGCATTTGGGACCATGGACCTTCTTACTTACTGAGATTTTTGGGCCAAAATCTGTCTGTAAGAACTGGAAGGTAGGAAGCAGTTTCACTGAAACCATTTATCCACACAACTTCACTAGACTCCAAGGGGGAGTGATATCCATTTTAGCAAATATTTATTGAGGGCTTACTATGTGCCAAGCATGGATGCTTGAAATTTTGATGTCTTCAAGTTGTATTTAATTGGTTAAAAGGGCCTATTAAGATCAGTTTCCCCTTTCACCCTTGAAGTATCCTCCTTTAGCCTGTATTCTTCCCTTACCTCCCAGAATTTTTGGAAGGATCAGGCATGTACTATACCCTATATCCTGTCTCTTCTAGCTTAAAAAAATTCCTTGACTGTGTCAGAAACCAATCTTGTGCATCCGAAACTTTCCCATGGTTTCGTATATCTATCTGTATGTTCTACAAAGTATACATACTTACATGTATATGTGTATGCGTGTACACACATATATATGCAAGTATGGGCAACTATGGGAAAGTTTTTCCCAGTGATGGGATAATTTTCCTTCCACTGTGGAATGTTATCGCCCAATTCTAAAGACCCATTCTCTTCCATCTAGGGAGGAAAATCAGGTGTGCTATTATTAAAATTAAAGTGATATGTCTAAAGGGGGAAAGCACAGAGTTTCAGTATTACAAAAACTTTTATATATCAATTCTTAATCGTGTATAATATTCAGATGGAAGAAATTTTTGACATAGATAAAACAAGGGAAAGATGATGATTCCTGAAATATTTGCATGTCTGTTTTTGAAATAACCAGACATATATTTACACAAATAGAGGATCACTTGCTCCAGCCCTGGGCATTTTTATGTCGGCCCACTTGAAGGAACAGAGGGTTCAATGAGGTGGTGAAGGTAATCATAAGGTGTGGGTATACTCGTGATTCAGCAAGAATAATCTGTGAAATGAACAAGACTCATGATAAAATTCAACATGAGTATACTGTGCATTACCACTGCTGTGCTCTCAGTTTTTGTTGTTTCTCTTAAAACCTAGATACCGCTCTATTCTGCAGCTGGTCAAGCCATGGTACGATGAAGTGAAAGACTATGCTTTTCCATATCCCCAGGACTGCAATCCCAGATGCCCTATGAGATGTTTTGGTCCAATGTGTACACATTATACACAGGTTACAGCAATTGTCTTGATAATTTGGGTTCATACTTTTTAAAAATGGTCTTAACTATTTTGGTGAATGTGGATTTTCTTAGCTCTGACTTCAGTAATGTCATACTGGTTTATTTTTGCAGATGGTTTGGGCCACCTCCAATCGGATAGGATGTGCAATTCATACTTGCCAAAACATGAACGTGTGGGGAGCTGTGTGGCGACGTGCAGTGTACTTAGTGTGCAACTATGCCCCAAAGTAAGTCCCAGGTGGCATTCCACTTGCTTGAATCTTTCATGATAAATACCTTTGGTCTGATAGGTATTTTAATATGACTAGGACTTAACTAAAATGGACTCTAATCATGAATCCTGTTATACCCATATACCTAAAACATGATGATCTGAAGATTTCTTGTCACAAGGAAAGGGATTCTGGACTAAAACTGGTGGCAAAACAATCTGAGTATGGAGGTTCACTAAATTCTTCTCACCATCTTTCCTTTGTTTTGGTAATTGTAAAATAAACTTTGTACTTCCAGGCTTTTGATAACTACATAAAAAGGCATCAGAACACAGTCTTCTAGGGAATTTACATCACAAAATTCCCATTTCACTGTTGGAATTTTGATTTACCTCTTTCACTAGGAAAAAAACAAGCCATTCTTCCTTCCTTGTTTTAAGAGTAAAATTTTAAATTATAGTTTATTAATTCCTTAGGTGGTTAAGGAGGAATTCAACATCATAAGGGGAAATTTACAAGCTATGACTTTTTTTCAAATTGAGGCTGTGCCATAATTTGAATTTCAATTAAAAATTATTCAGTAATTTTGTCCTCAGGCATACATAAAAGTACTGTGAAAATTAATTAAAGATTCTAAAATATGGCCACATTTATCAACATTTTTTATAATAAATAAGCATGTGTTAACATTTGATAAAATGCCTTCTTGCTAACAATAACTCTTTAGATGATAAAAGATTGCAATATTTATTCATGAGTCTGTTCCCATTTGGAGTAAATACCAAAATGTGCAAAGGATTTATGACACTCTTTGTGTTTTCCAAAGTAAGTACCAAACAAAGATTTTCTTCAGTGTTGCCAGTATGGAAAGGGAATGAGAAAATGTTTCACAAACAACTGCATTACTCATTTATGTGGTAGTATGCCAGTGATTTTGCAAAGTTAGAAAAATAGCAATTTCCCTGACGGACCCCTCTTCACAATTATTAGAACAATGAGATTTGGAAAGTAGAGTGTGTCTTCATTATAAAAAGCATCAAACTGGGCATTTGTTTGATATTTTCAGTCTCACTCCTTATATTTTCTTGTTAAACTTTTACCCTTCATTCTGACATAAATAGGCCAAGTAGGCCCCAAATGATGAAGAGATTTTTTATTTCATTCATTTAACTTTTCTGTTTTTGGCTAATGACTACAATTCCTAATATTATTGATGAAAGATTTGATTGTTTTATGGGTCCAAGACATTAAGATATTGTGTTTATATGCAATATTTGTTGTAATAAAAACATTATTTTGAAACCTAGGCAATGAAGAAACTCTTAAAATCTTGACTGATATGTGAATATGAGTCTTCGGATGTCAATATGAAGTTATCTCAAGCCTGTTTTTCAGGAGAAAAAATACAAGAGAGAAGGAGAAAGAGACAGAGAGACAGGGAGGGAAAATTTAATTACATGGACTAGTAAAAAAGTAAAAGAATAAATAATAAGTTTATTAATTGACTGATTTACTATTGCATGTAATTATTTTCTAGTCAATAAAGGTCTGTGATTTATGTAAACATTTATATTTTTATGTATCATAAAATTATATTTCTAAATTTATAGTACCAAAAATGTTCCGTATAATTTCAGAAAGTAATATAGAATACACAGAAAAATATATTTTTAAAGTAGCATAGACTTGGTAAAGATATAGCTTTTGATAAAGATACACAAGGAAATAAAATTTGAATACAAAAAGGGAGAGATTAGGAAAAAGGAGTGAACTCCACTCACAAGAGAATGGGCCCCCTTGAATGTTTCTCAGCCAGCTTGTGACATTACCAAAATTATGCTTGAGGAAACTTATCCAGAAGTCAGAGCAGAGAATAAACTAGATAGAGTTGGTGGTCTTAGAATCTCACTTCACTCTGTAATATGAATAATCAGCATGTTTTTCTTGTTTATAGATACTTTGTGGATTAAAGTGAATTTTTAACTGACTGATTTAAGCAGGTAGCTTCATGTCCTATAGATATGTTCTGAATCACTGCTTGGTCTTATTCAGGTCTTAAAGAAGATTACAACCTCCTGTCTCATATTCTAGCCTCTTACCTACTGTTGTCTTACCTACCATCTTGACTTTTTATTACTACCAACCAGATTGTCTCATGACCATTCAATTCCCTTCACATTATTGGCTATATTGTTATTTTCTAGTACTCTAGTTACTAATCACTGGGCCACTAAAATACATTTATTAGTTTCTCTTTTATATTTAAAGGAGCTAAATAACAGCAAGGCAATGTGGCTGTTTTTAACTCTCAAATAATAAATTGACTTATTACTTTGATCATAGTCATCAATATAGATAAAGACAAACATTGAGAACACAAAGCAATTCAGTTCAATGTGTTCATTGTCAAAAAATGAATAACTTTTTCTTAAAAAAGGCTATAATTGTACATATGGGAAAGGGTATTAAAATCACCTTTAATTACTATGAGAATGGAGTTTTCCAGATTTAATTTTATAAATAATGAGAATCTACAACATTTTACAACTTTATAAACAAATCTTGTGAAGATTTATAACCATTTTTTGTACTTATAACAACTTCGTGTTCATTTCATCATTTTTAAGCCTCCCAGGAAGTATAAACACACACACATACATACAATACATATGTTTTTACTCTCCTTAGAATGTCATTACTGTGAGTTTTTTTAAGTGAATATGGTCCATTTGCTCTAGGTGACGGTATAGGAAAGAGACAGGTGTGGCAACTGGAATGAGCATTAAGCTTGGTGTCAGATAACTAATTATGTTACCATTCATTGTAGTGAGTCATTTGTTATCTGTAAATTAAGATAATATTAACTCAGAGAGAAAATATTTTAAAAGATATATAGAATAAGTTACTGTATAAACAAGAAATGGATATGACTTTCAATGCCTTTCACAAATGAAAACTTCTCAAATAGATACTCACATGTCAATACATTGATCATGTGCTCAAGGACAATCAAAAAATTTTTAAATGAGCAAGTAACATTAATGTTACCTTCTTTTTCCTTTTCTTTCTAGGGGCAATTGGATTGGGGAAGCACCATATAAAGTGGGGGTACCATGTTCAGCCTGTCCTCCAAGTTATGGGGGATCTTGTACTGACAACCTTTGTTTTCCGGGAGTAACGTCAAACTACCTATACTGGTTTAAATAAGCTTATCTATTCCTCCAGGAAATAGAATGGTTTCTGGGGATCATAGGTCTATATATATATTGAGTTTTGCACATATTATATATATTTTATAATAACCTTGTTTTCCTTTTAATATTCATTGTATAAATTAGTGTTCATCTAGAATGTTGGTTTAATCTTCTGAGGTCATCAAAACATCCATTTCTATTTTCTGACCTCTAAGCATAAATTAAAATATTGTATATTTAGTATTGACATAATTGATGCATCCAATTCTAAAACTTGTTTTCCCCAAAAGAATTATGTTATGTTCCTAAAGACTAAAAAATATATGTGACCTATAAGGTATGTGTGTATATATATGTATATACACACATGTATATATACACACATACCTATACACATATACATATGTGTATATGTATATACACACACACCAATGTAATAGATGATGTAACACATGGATAATGATATCATTCAGTAGCTAACTTGCAGAAATTAAAAATGTTCTATTCCAAATATATGTTAGGTGGTGGGACATCTCCAGCGTCCACCTCTATAATACCCACAAAATAATATTTTGCATCTGGATATATTAACTTAATTAAGCAACCAAAAATTTCATTCTGGAAACAATTCATCTTATTTGAGTTCATAAAAGGATATGCTCAAACTTATGGAAGTTTCACATCACGCCTTTTGCTTAATAACTTTGTGCTGAGTGCTTACCACATTCAAGGCACTCTTGCTATTTATGATTTGATAATGCAAAGACAGTGAGATATGGTTCCTGCCTTCAAGAAGCTCCCAACATATTCAGGAAATAATACAACCTAATAATTTTGCTGTGAAAAATTATTTTTTAACAAACTGATTTCACGTTGCTTTAAGGAAGTAAACACAACAATGATGTTCACCTGTAGGTTGGATAGGTGATAAGCCACACTGTGTAAAATATAAGGCTTCTGATTAGCATAAAATTTTAGCTACAGTGCTCGGGACCAGAAGAGGCAGGAAAGAATTAAAAACTGCCCAGAAACTACTGGATTAGAGTAGAGAGTTGTGACTTTGGAAGGCAGAAAGCAAGACCCTTAAGAAAACTGAAGAGGCCAACAGAAGTTAAGATTTAGGTAACAGGTATGAAAATCACAGAAATAGGGTTATTGGTCATAAATACCAGAGGCAGAGCTTCAGAAGGGCCTGTCCTGAGGGTCTAGTATTTCTTGAGGCCTGTCAGCAGGAGGTACAGGATGCCAGAAAGAAACCTCCAGGTGCCAAAAACACTTCCATCATTGTCATTATTTGGTGAGAAGCAATCTGATCATCCTGGATCTTTGTGTCTCATTTGAAAGGCTCTGAGTACACAGCACAGTTACAATTTATTTGTTAAATAGACCTCTTCGGATGACTTTTCTGTGGACTAATCACCAAATTTTATTTCTATATCTATGTAGAAGAATATGTTCCCTTTCTCCATTAAGTTTGATTATGGAAATCAAATCAAAGTCACTGAAAATTTCACACATGCATTTTGGAATATTTCATTCATGCAAATTTGGAAATTTCTTATTTGAGAAATTGCTTTCAGAGAGAACTCAATTATGTGGGTCAAGACACTTAACAAAATATGTTCTGTGTGTGAGAGAGAGAGAAAAAGAGAGAGAGATAGATTTGGGTTATGTAATATTACAATACTTCCATAGAATTACAGAATAAGAAAAAATGGTTAGAGCCAGAATGCAAATAACAGAAGAAAGCTACTTGTTTAAAATTGCCTGCACATTTGCCATTTCTTAAGATGGAAGCATTGAAAGACTACAGGTACTTAATTAAATCCATTCAGTCGGGGAGGAATCCACTATTTGGAGTTTAAGTTCACATGATGAAAAACAATTGGCCTAATTCCATTTACAAACTAGATATGGTGAACAAATGTTTTGATATCATACTACTCTGCTTCTGTGAACACATATGTAGACATTATTAAAAATAAATATTTTAGAGACTCAAAAAAAGAAAATAATTACATGATTCATACTCCAACCCATATTGTATATAACATGTAATAGGCAATTGGAGAGATCTCATTAGTAGGATATTTGCTTGATTTATGTAGAAAGTATTTCTATCCTTGATTTTGCTGTGCTAGGCCCACAGAAGTAGGAAAGTACTTTTAAACCAAAAATGACTGTTTTTGCTGGTGCACTTATGTAGCTTGGTTTCTCAGTTCTAAAAGTGAATAATGATATTTGCTACATATTTCAAAGAGGTCCTTATAAAGGTAAAATTATCTTATTAATAGAATTTATAAATATTTAAATTTCATTAATGTGAAACTTTTATTTAAGATGAAATTAAGTTTTTTGTGAGCTTTTCCTCAGCAGAAACTCTAATTCTTTGTATTTATCTCATCTCCTTATACAGTAACTATAATGTAATAAATGTTTATATGAATGGATTTTTAGAATTAACTAAAAAGTTTAGAACTGCAGCAATTCAGAGGAATCCCACCTTTCCATGTTTCATTGAGAATGTCTTCAATGCAAAGCTTTAAATGCATCAGAAATCCAGATGAATCATCAAAAGTATCAGATTAAGACTAGGGACTACACACAGAATTTATACAACAGTTCATTCCAAATCACAACTAGAATTGTAAGTTTATTCATAATTTAACAACTCAGCTGAAAAATATAACGGGTATATTTGTTATTCTATTTGTACTTTTTAAAGTTAGTCATATAATGTGGTCATGTGAAATGTTTTATTTCCCAGGTTAAAGCAAATGACAGTTTGCAAGTATCAACATGGTATTTCATATTTTTATAGCATGCAATAATGGTGCTAGGGTAACTATTTCTCACTGTAACTCCCAGAGGCAGAAAGTGTCTGGGGATAAGCTACTTCATAAGAGCAGCTTTAAAAAAGTCAGTATTGAGGTTTTCATTTCAAAAGTTTTCTCTCAAAAGAAATGGTAATTGACATCCATATTCTATAGCATGGCTCCTCTCTATGGTATAGATTTTTCACACTACCCTTTTTTCAGTAGAAAAGTTAAAAAAAAATCTGTCACAATACAGATTATTTTGACTTTTGTGTTATCAAAGACTGGGAAAACTACAATTTTTGCTATTAAACTGATGAATTTCTTCATAGAATTGTATTTGGGTTGTGTAAGCACAGTCTTAATGTTCTGGTTATGATAGATAGATTTTCTTTTAAAATGTGGCAGAAGCAATTATCATCCTTTTTGCCTCTGTTCAGTCTAAGTATCATCACTTCTCTGGGCCATCAGATCACCCCTACCAGCTTCATTTGACAGTGAGGTAATGTTCACTTGAAACCATGGAAACATTTATTTGAAAGCTTTAACACAGAGTTGACCAAATGGCTAGAGCAAGTTCAACCAATACGATTTACTTAGAGAATTTGATTGAAATAATATATGTTTTCTCATTAATACATGATTATGTTAAATCAATTTATAACAATTCCATAAGCAAATCTCATATAAATTTAGGCCAATTTAAGTGTTTTGTGTTCATACCTTGTTTATTTTATGAATGCATAAGCTAAACAGGTAACTTGAATGTGCCCATGAAGGAAAAGTGATGTTGATGATCTCTGCCTCAAATAGAAACTTTCCCTCGGTCCTGCAGTTTCATAGGATGAAAATCTTGACATGGATGGAAGCCTTATCTACTGAAGCATTTAAGGAAGTAAAGTTAGATTTTTATCAGTGCAACATTATCTTTGCTTATATATGCTTTTAAAAATATTGTCATAATTATGGGGAAAGACATATTTAAACACATGCAAAATGATTTTTAAATATTGTGTCATGGTATAACTTTGACCTATGAGAGACCAATCAAAAACTTAGAAAGCTTAACAACTAACTGGCTAATGGTGCTGAAAATGTATTACAACCACCAAAATTGCTAGAGTTTTGAGGTTTCTTTGCAATTAAAGTTTTTATTGTGAACTATCATATATTTTGGTGCTAAATATATGGTGCTAAATGAATTGTTAGTGTTAATAGCATCAGTAATGCTAATAATGCTCTGTTTAACCATGTTAAAAGTTATCCATTCAATTTCTGATTCAAAAACAGTAATAAAATCCTGTTAAATTCATCTTAAGTAGAAACAAGCCAGTGAACTCCATTTTTAATAAAACAGTCCTAAATTACTTAGGTGTTACAGAATGTAAAAATATATATATTTTTAGAAGTTATCGATTTTCTTTTAAGGCTTTTCTTAGTTTGGCAATGTCTAAATTCAAGCATCTCCTAAAGGTTAGCTAACGCCTACACCAACTATGCTGCAGGCACTGGCGCCCTCTGCTGGCCATAAAAACAAATTGTTGATGGCTATTTGGCCTTAAAAACCTTTTCTCCTGTTCAATAAAAATTTAAGTTGCACAATTTTCAAATTCTCAAATAATCTCTAATCTGACAGCAGATTAAAAATTCTTTACTTTTTTGATGTACTTTTCTAAGAGGATAAGAGATATAATACATTTTGGTATCTACTTTCCTAAATAATGTTTTTCATAATTTTCCAGTTCTGAGGTGCTTATTACAGTGTTATTTTTTTAACTAGGCATTATCAAAATATTTTTTGGTTTACATTTTAAATACAATTATAATTAAGATTAACAAGCAGAATTATGTGTGTTTCACTTTCAGATGCAATTTTTTTTTTTTAATTTTGCAGGGTACGTAAGATAAAAAGGAGATAGGTTAAAATAATTATTTCCATATAGAAGAGGATTATGTCTCCACCTTCACTTGTTGATCTATAATATGATAATGTTCTTTTATCACACTTTTGAGCTAATGATAACATTTTCTTATTTCATTCAAAATCTTTTTTAGCCTAATAAATGTACGCAAAGTTTAGAGTCACATCCCTATAACTAAAAAGGCCATATTCTCAGGTAAACTTTCAGGTGAGGTATATGATTGGCTGATGTGATAATCTTTTTTGAAAGAGATGTTTCTTAAACTATGTTAGCAT